GGGGGGTCGCGATATAGTGCCACTTCGAATAGTGCAACCCTCCGAATAGTGCTAGGTAAAGTGCTTTGGCACGCATTTATCACACTGCCACGTGGACAGATGGCAGGCAGTGCGCCGGCGGGTAGCCGTGTCATGGTTGTGTGAACCGATAGCCCCTTCCTTTACTCGTCGTCGTCTCTAGGTGTATATAATCCTCTCTAATGACAGCCTGTCCTGTGCGGTCTGGCAAGTGCAAAGTGCGTTGGCGAATGTGTGTGTGTGTGCGGTCAGACAGTCCCGGAGTTCGCCGATGAGCTTTGTGCTGGTGGGAGTTGAATCATGGTGGTTAGGTGGTTATGTCTTGGCGGTCCGGTTATTTTGGTGAATAGGTCCGCGATGTTGTCCGTTGTCGGTATGTGGTGCACCGATATATTGCCTTTCCTTATGAGGTCCTGGAAATGGTGGTGTTTGATGTCTATGAATTTTCTACGCTTGGTTGGTGCGACGTTCTTGGCTACGCTGAGCGCCGCTTGGTTATATATCATCAAGGGTGTTGGTTTGTGTTCCGGTTGCTGGATGTCGGCGAGCATGCGGCGGATCCATTGTGTTTGCTGTGCGGCTCGGGACGCCGCGAGGTATTCGGCCTCGCAAGTGGACGTGGCGACGGTTGGTTGCCGTGATGATGTCCAGCTTATTGGGGCTCCGTACAGTGTGTGTATGATGCCGGTGCGCGATTTTCTGTCCCGGTGTTGGCATAATCCGAGTCACTGTAGGATCGTAGTGTGATTTGTGTTTGGCGGTTGACGGTTTTGTATTCAATGCCGTGTGTTCTCGTTCCTTTGAGGTAGCGTAGGAGGGCTTTGAGGTTATGTTGGTGGGTGATGGTGGGATTGTGCATGACTCCGGCCATTTTGCTAACAGATGTGTGTATGTCTCCTCGTGTGCTGTCTGCAATGTATCGCAGGTCCCCAAGGGTTTGACGGAATATGTTGGCGTCGCGTGGGTTCAGTGGCTTGTTCTTCATTTCATCATCGAACGGTCCTTTGTGGGGCAGTGGTGAGTGTCGCGGGTTGCATTTCGTCATTCCTGTCTTGCTCAGGATGGTGTCGATAGCAGCAGTTTGTGACACGTGTATGCTGTCATTGCTCCTCTTGCGGATTGTCCAGTTTCGGTACTGTTTCGGGAATCTGAGACGTTTTATGTTGTAATTCTGTTGCAGATTGGTGTACAGTTGGGTGACAAGAGTTGGATGAGTGGCGATGACGAGGAAATCGTCCATACTGACGGCTGTGATTGGTGTGCCTTTTGCATCGTGGCGATAAAAGATGCTCGGGTCGGCATCGGCTTGTTTGTAGGCGTGCTTTTTGAGATGTTCCGTGAGGCCGTCGAAGTATATGCGGGATGCTGGTGGTGTCCCATATATGTTTTTGACAAGTCGGCCTCCCTTGCATGCATGTTTGTAGCTGCCGCCAAACTGTGGGTGCTGCTTGATATAGACTTTGCGTTCTGGGGGATAGTTTTCGTGGAGATATGCTGAAGTTATGTGGAAGTGTTCGACGGGCCATCTTTTGGCTGCAGCTATGGCTAGTAGAACGCGTATGGATGTTTTTTCTGCCATGTATGTGATTGTGCTGTCACTGTCGTAATGGAGACCTGGCTTCATACGGTCTCCACGTGCTGAGCATCTGGCTTTACGCTGTGTGACTGTGCCGTCGGGAGCACGTTTGTAGCGATATGTCATTTTAAGTGGTATCAGTTGCTCGCGTGGGGGGAGCTTTTTGTCTGGTATCCACAGGATGGTTTGTGATTTGTCGAGCTTGTCGAGTTCCTCATTGTGTGCAGTGGCCCATTGTCCCGAATCGGGGTAGTTTTGTGCTTCTCGCTGCGTTTTCGGGTCTGGCGTTGTGATCTCTACAGTGGGTGGGCTGGCTTGTGATCGATATGCGCTGAGGGGCCTATAGCATGCGTCGGACGTTCGGCTGTACGGTCGGAAGTCGGCCGTGCGTATAGTTCGGTATGGAGGTGATTTGAGCTCTTGGACCGTGATGGTTTTGTGATCGTTGCCGTATGCGTATCGCACTGGTGTTCCTCTGGGGTCCAGCTTTTTCTTCGGTTGTACGAGTGGGATCGTGCCGAGTTGCCCGAATGTGAATAGGCGTTTGGGTCTGCGTGGTTGGTCGTGCCACAGATTGGTGGGTGGCTGGCCGGTGGCGGAGTGGGGCATGAGATTGTATTTAAAAGCTGCGTCCCTTACCGCATCTTCCCAGTACTGCGGGTGTAGTTTCGCGTGCTGTAGATTTGCCCGGGCGGCATTCATCAGAGTTTGGTTGATACGCTCTGCCAGCGAGTTCTCTTGGGGTTGGTGTGGCTTGTTGTTTTTGTACGCTATGCCGTATGCGGCGTACGTGCGCATGGCTTCCTTGGACTTGAATTCCAGTACATTGTCGGTGCGGTAGTACTGTGGTGTTCGTCCCGAGTTGTACAGTTGGCGCATGTGTTGTGGCATGATTGCTCCGACTTGTCGTCTGTCTTTTAGGAAGTATAGGATGAGAAACCTTGATCCAGCGTCGATGTACGTAAGGAAGTGGAAGTTGCCGTGTGTGGATATCGGGGAGATTGGGCCACACGTGTCAGAGCTGAGGTATTGGTCGGGGGCATAGTTGTGTGTGGTTTTTCGGTGTGGTGCTGGTCTTTGTTTTGCCATTGTACACGCTGAGCAGGTGATGGTGGTCGTTTCGTACGCGAGTGAATTGGGCATTGTTGGTATGTTTCCGTCTTTGGCCATTTGTCTGATGTTGCGTGCTGTGGCATGGTTTAGCTTGAGGTTCCATTCGTGTGCGACCTGGTCCTGCGGTGTGGGTTGAGGTTGGTGCTCTGTTACTGGATTGTGGGTGTCGGCGATGTGTCGGTTTTGTCGCCGGTGTTCCTGCATTTGTGGTGTGCGTGGACCAATGTGTTGCACCGTCGTCGTTTTCGGCTTGCCTTTTGGGATGGTTTTTTGTGCGTTCTGCTGTATGGTTTGGTTCTGACACTGTAAGCGTTGTTCAGGTTTTTATTTGTCCATGCATACGCTTTGTGCTTTGTGTTCCATAGCGCTGTACCGATGATGATGGGTTTGTTCCGTTGCGCTGTGTTTTTGTATACTATTGCCTTGTTTCGTGTGAATAGTACGTTGCCGTGTAGTCTCGCGAGATCGTGCACGAAGATCACGTTCGTGGTGATGGCCGGGTTGGCCACGGCTGGGACCTGGAGCCGTATGTTTTTATTCGTGCGGATTGTCGTCTTACCGTGGTGTGTACATTTGGATTTGGTGTTAGTGGCTGTGGCCGTGTGTATGGCGTGCCGTGTTTTGCGCATGTGTGTTGTGGGGCGCGTCAGATGTGTTGGGTGCGCTCCTGAGTCCAGGATGTACGTACATGGTTCGCCTTCCGTCCTGTTGTCGTCCCATAGGTCGTAGTCGTATTGGTCGTGCTGTTCGTTCTCGGTTACGTCTTCAGGGTTGTATGCCACTCGTGCTTTTGGGTGTCCTTGTGCCCTTTTGTTTTTCGGGTGGTTGGAGTTGCGGCATTCTGCATCCGTGTGTTGCGGTTGAATGATGCCGCGCAGTTGGTGGTATCGACAGGGGTTGTCAATTTGACGTGGCAGGGGTTGCCTGCGGGTTTGGCGTGTGGCCCATCTGCGGCTGATTGGTGCCGGTCTGTTGGGGGGTGGTGCCTGGGTTGTCTGAGTAAGGACGTTCTGGTACTGTGCGAATCGGTTGTACCAGTGTGCGAACTCCTTCACTGTGGCTGGGTTGAGGGCTATGAGTTGCATGCCTATGGGTGCCGTTGTGGGGTTGTATCCCAGCCCGTCGATCATGGATGTGACCGTTGTCCTCGTGTCCTGTATTTCCGGATAGCATGCCGCTATCATCTTGGCCCTGATTCCCTCGTGGATCGTGACGTATTCCTGGAGCGTCATTCCGTGTGTGAAGTGTGCCTGTTCTGCCTGTTGTTTGAGGCATTTTTGGTCGTCAGCGTTGGTCGTCAGCGTTGGCAGTGTCGAGGTGTGCCGTGATCGCCTTTACCAGATTGTACGGCGTTGGTTCACTCGTCCGTGTGAGTACCAAGTTGGCAATGTCGCTCGGGATGCTCGTTATGATCTTGCCGAGCAGCACGTGCTTGGCGCGCTGAAATGTGTGGTGCTCGTCTTCTTGTGTCGGGGGTTCGGGGTTGCCTTCTAGTTGGTGGATCGTTCCGGTGGCGTACGCGGCGGAGCGTAGCGCAACGAACCACGGGCCGTAGTTGTCGAGATTGAGGGTTGGGACGTCGGTTCGTCGTTCCATGTTTGAGGATGTGCTTGTGCGTATGGGAGGTCTGTACGTGAGTTGATCGATTGGTGCTGCGGCGGGCGGGTTGTTTCTGCGCGTTGTCCTACGTGCTGGGAGGGATCGTATCGTGTCGTTGTGGTGGCTTGTTGGAGCTGGGAGCATCGGCGCGTGGTTGGGTAATGGTGCCTATAACCTGTGTGAACACGGGGTCCGATAGCCCCTTCCTTTACTCGTCGTCGTCTCTAGGTGTATATACTCCTCTATAATGACAGCCTGTCCTGTGCGGTCAGACAATGGGCGCCACCATTCGTCGCCAAGCTGCCTGTCTGTAACATCGAATGTCTTCATTCCGACACCCCCTACCAATGTTTTGAGCTCTCCCTTCCAACAAACCAACTATGGCCGGCAGTGTAATATGGTATAGTGCTACCCTCCTAATAGTGCCATTTAGAAGCCCTTGTCACGGGGTAGCACTATTGGGTGTGGTCTACTGTAGATAGGATATTCTACTGTACAACAAAAGGAAAAAAACTGTCGTCGTGTCCTTGCTGAGGTAGCATGTGCGGTGGGTGGGGATGCAAACTACGGGAAAACGGAAGATAAACGATTCTATCGCTCACAGAACGTTGTCTACATAATCCCCTGGTCTGCCCTCTGCTGGGAAACAGACCTCAAGCACATCCAAGACCGCCGTTCAACTGATAACCGTTGCTCAGTATGGAACTTGCCGCACAAAGTGTACTCTAATACGGTTGCCTTGCTCCGGACTTTCCCTCAACAATTTCGGTTCTTCCTGAGTCACCGTCAAATCAACAATGGCTGTAAGGACAACCAAGATGCCTCTCATCGCTATCTTCATGACATGGCTCCTATTTGCTGCACCGTGCGCTCTCAATTTGGGTCCATCACGGGAACCCGTACATCACCCTCCATGGTCTGTACTGTCGTCAACAAGCAGTGCAACACAAACCTAACCATTTCCGGCTGCCTCAATGCGTGCCTTTCAATCATTAGCTTAGCCAGTGTTGGAGGCGAGGGAGCCGAACCTACCTGTAGAAAAGGTGGGACTTCGTCGGTTTCTGGAGTATGCAATGCTTGTGTGAGCTCCGGACAAGCACGCAGGATTGATTTCAAGGGCTCATGTCCGGCACAGTACGCAGCACAGTTTCTGGATCTGGCCAAGCCTCTATTCTTTGTCGTTCTTGACCGTCTTTCGCAATGCTTAGATACCCGTGGTGGTAATGCATTTAGACAAACATTGTTGACCGAAATCGAACGAGTTTACTGTGTAGATCCCTCACCCAGTCCGACCAGCACATCATCCGCTACACCGACTGCTTCTCCTTCAATGAGTGCAACTCCGACAATTTCTGCAACTTCATCGCCGACTCCTTCCTCAGCTGTGAGTGTGTCTCCGACAATTTCTGCAACTTCATCGCCGACTCCTTCCTCAGCTGTGAGTGTGTCTCCGACAATTTCTGCAACTTCATCGCCAACTCCCACGAGATCTCCAGCCAAAAAACCCCATGGTCCGCGGCCCGGGAGGAACGAATCTGCTTGTGTTCGGCAGCTTAGAAGATGTGTACGCGGATTCCGTCGTAGACGACTGCATGGTCGACGAGGACGACTGAATAATATCGTTAGGAGATGCTGCAGACCGTTTTGCAAGTGCAGATCAGCTAGGTCACGCCGGTGTATCCGCGTGTGCCAAATCTCCTACTCGTTCGACTTCTAGACAATCGGACATGCTTCGCACCCTAGAATTAGAAAGGCGTGCGTGCGAGCTGCAATCTTTAAGGCAGCTGCAGAAATCGCAATAAACTAGTCTGTTGACAATATGGATGCAGATCAAATGATATCCGTCCTTTCCACCCTTTTACAAAAATAGATTTTCTTGCTGATGTGTGCACTGGGTAGAGTGCCTTAGCTAATAACGCAGATGTTGAAGAAAAATTGCTTTTAATTCACAGGAGAACAGAGGCACATAGACTCTGCCTCTGAATGCTGTGACATTTAGCGATGTTGCTCCGACGCTCGCCGAAGCGAAACTTAGGCGATGATCATACGAGACAGTATCAACGGCTTGTATAGCGTTTTCGCGCACAGCCTGTCAAGAGTTAGTCCACGATCCGCAACTGCGGTGCGGGAAAAGCGCGGAGCAAACCGCGGCGGTAAGGGTGCGGTTTGAGGGCCCACCGCGGAGCCGGGCAAGGCGTAGTTCTGCCGGTCGTGGCTTGTGGGCTTTTACGAAGCCAGTCTGCGAAAACCCAAAGTTGGTGACAAGTGCATGAGTCGAAGCTGAAGACGCATAGCCTTGAGATATGTATTTAAGTCCGGATTGGATAAAGGCAGCACCATCGGGAAAAGGAGGCAGAGGACTTCAGAAAACCTCCCGCTTGGTGACAGTGCCCTCCGACTTTCGCTCACACTCCGTCTCCCCTCGATACTGTCCGTCTCCCCAAACTCAGCCTTTCTAGCTCGCGCTACAGTGGCCGGATCAGGCAGACCGTCATTTTCTACAGACCGATCATAGACATACTTACAAACTGGAAAGGGTCTGTAGTCTCCGGAAGCAGATTGGTGTCACAACAGATTTGCTCCGTGAGGCCTGCCCTCTGCATCTTGCTTCGAAAAAAAAAGTACATAAGGATGTACCCGACAAACGGGTATGCACTAAAATTGTAGTAGGGGGACGCACATTATGTGCGCAAGCATTTCCGTGGCAAACCCCATTTTTTGTGCACAAAATAGAAAAATATGACTCTGACACAAAAAATAATTTCCGGAGGCGCCCATTTACCACGCAATGTAGTCTTAGCGAATGCTGACGGGGGCAGAATCTGTCGTGGTTTCAGATCCTATCACAAAGGGACCGGAGAAATACGTATGAAGACGCGACTAGCAACGCCAAAGCTCTCGCTCAAGCTAACAATCAAATTCCAAGGGGCTGTTGAAAAGGTACTGTTTGACCGGAATTGTAACTGAGTATCAGTTACAATTTCAATTCCAGTCAATGTTCATCAACATGCAAAAAAAATTTTGCATGTCTCGGCACAAAAATGATCGTACTATGAAAGCGTTCGTTGAAGCAAATGCCCCATCCACAAGAACAATAGCAGCTGAGTGAAAGTTTACCTTGCCACAAGGCCCGTGCTGGTGAAAACCGGGAGCCCGTGGTATTTTGGAACTCTGCGCAACCAAGCCCGAAGAAGAAGGGCAGGAAATAACGCGTGGATGGCGTCATCCCTTCATAGTATGAAGTTCATACCGTACAAACGCTCGACAGCCCTCATGCAACTTGGCATCGCAGTGAAATGCAACCAAGACTCAACAAAAGTAATAAGTCTGTTAATTTTTCTGACGCTGCGCACCGCTAAAACTGATCCCGGGTGCATACTGAACGCTTTTGGATTTATTTCTGAGTAATTTTTTGGCGATTGTAAAATATCGCGCACGATTTGTACGTGGACCGTTGGGGTTCGCTACGAGGGGGCCGTCTCTGACGAGGCAGGGAAGAGGATCCTCGGGGGAGGAGAAGACAGAAACTGACTTCAATGCGATCACGCGAGGCTTTGTGGTGACTGCCCCGGCTCCTGCTGCTGGCAGCCTGGCACCAGGCGCAAGAAAACGAGCCGCATCCGACAGGGGCGCGCGCTCCTCGACACCGCAAACCTCAACGAAGGATGCGTGTCAAGCGATACCCAAGGGTGGTGTTACCGTATTGCGCACGACTTCTCCCCCCGGTGCATGCTCTGTTTACTCTACCCAATCATTTGGACTTGTGCGTGCAGACAGGGAAGCCTCAAGTTCTGTCGCCTCCCCCGTGCAAACTCGTCCGCACAAATTCGTCACTGCCCACCATGTGAATCATATCTGCGTCCCATATCAAGCTAGACTCACTCTCGTGAGTCGTGCGTCCAATAAATTCTAACTCAATCATTCCCTCCTGCGATGCAGAATTTGTTCTAACGAGCTATAAACAGCACACTGTGTAGATCTATAAAATACAGTACCCAAGGGTACATCAGAAAGAGCAGCCCACACTGATGATGTGCATAAAGCTTCATATCGCGCGTTGCACGCCGAATGAATTCGGATACGTGATCAACGTAGCGACAGTTGCTCCTACCTCTCTACGCATTCACGCCAATAGGTTTACTCGCCTTGACATCTTGTTGTGCTTATAATCGCAGATGTCTTGGGGTCCATCTCCCAACCGTGCAACTTGCAACAAGCCTTTCCCTTTTACCCACACCTGAAAAATGTCTAGGAAAGTCTTCATTCTAGCCCTGTTGTCTCTGCTTGGTGTCGCGCTAGCGACTCAGATCCCCGCTTCTCTCCCCAGCCAGAGGCAGTTTCTCAGACGAAGGTGCCCATGCAAATGCTTTCCCGGACGTCAAGCCTTCCGCGCCCGCTTCCAATGCCGGCGAACGAGGTTTTGCCGCGTCAGCTCTTGCGGTCGCCGGGGCAAATGGTGCTGCGGCACTCCCTCTACACGGCCCCCTCCCACCCGGCCCCCGACCACCTCCCCAACACGCCCATGTCCTTGTAGTTGTATCACGGCAAGAGGCGGTGCGCGCGCTGAGAAGAGTTGCAGCAGGGGGAGGTTCCAGCATTGCGCGGTAAGCTCGTGCACTCAGGGTGGTTCTAACGGCCTGCAGTGCTGCGATTCCGAGTCAACCCAGCCGCCCACAACAACCGGCACCACGATGACGACCACTTTGCCGTCCACAACGACGACCACTGCGACGACCACCACTACGGCCACGACCACCACTACGGCCACGACCACCACTACGGCCACGACCACCACTCGGCCGCCTACTCAGCCGCCTACTCAGCCGCCTACTCAGCCGCCTACTCTGCCACCTACTCCGCCGCCGTCTACTACTGTGCGGGGCACGACTAAAAACCCGTTTGAATGACTCGCTATGGCAGAACTATTGAATATGACAGCATGATATGCGGCTCGTGATTGCACTCGATCGTGTTGATGATACCCTCTGTGCATGTCACAGTATTTGTGTCAAATGTGCTCAAGTACAGCAACAACAGCGATCGAAATGTTGTCTGTAGACTGACTGTCTTCTTGCTGTCAATCTGCTGACTTATCTTTGTTGCGTTTGTAATGTGGCTCGGCGCAATATAATACTCCACAGTATTAGATCTTGGTGCATTGGCTGTTCCGTGCAAGTTTCTCAAGGCATTGAACTCCACTGTGAAACGTACAGTAGATACCATCTCTATCTTTAGTTAAAATGTGTCCTCTGGATACGGTGAAGAATAAATTCTTATGACAAAACTGTCATCGACAGAAAACCTCAGATCGCTTCCCAGGCGGCTGATAGCCAAGCAGACGCTGCGGAAGAAGTCACCGCAAACCAGTCCCGCAAGATTATCCCATAGAGCATTAGAGCGAGGCAACCAATGCGCTAGTTTATAGAGCACATTTTTCGCCATGCAGCTCTCTAAAGAGTGCGCAACACAACCAGTACATCGCTATATGTGAAGGCCCGGGAGGGGCCAACTACACCCAGTTACTGCAAATAGTGTAAGTGAACAATTAGTGAAACTACGTCAAATACTGAAAGTGTGTCTAATATGTGTGCATTGCTGCGAAACCAAAATAGAAATAGTGACACACACACCAAATACGGTTTCAACAATATAAGTGTAACCCCAAACTTTACTGATTTAATTGTTGAGGCAGGTCAATCGCAGGATCGCTTCTGTGGTTCGGTGATGGAAGCACGTACTGTAACGTGTTAGGCGACGACGAAATCCCTGCCATTACAATAAGTCGGCATACAACAGATCCTTTCCCATCGTGACTTCCCAGCATTGTGACCACTTCAAGGCTGCTTTCCCTGTCATGCCCTTTTCTGCTTCACTAATTATCGCCGCGTTTCAACGGCAGGCGCAACGAAGTCGTAGCATCCCAAAATCCACAACTGCGGCCCCTCAACCTCATCCATTGGTTTAAACTCCCTATATCTCGCATACCGAATCCGTTCTTGCGAGAAAGCGGCCACTGCAGCATGTACTCACGCGAGCTGATCGCACAAAAATTGTCAAATGGATGATATTCACTTCCTCGGTGGAGGGGGACAAACATCTCCCGGCAAAAGCAGTGCGCAACTTTCCCCCATGGTTTTGTGGTACCACAAATGCCAACATCCTGAAGGCCTCGAGGTTGTTGAAAAACGAAGCTGAGTATCTCAACGAAAGTGGGGAAATAATAAGCCGTGGTTGCAGTTCGCCAATTACCCGCGTTACAAAGTGTGGATTCAAACGAGTTTACTCAAAAGCCAGGGCAGGTCGCGGTCGCAAACGCGTGGCATGGGTTCAGGCAATTCATCAAGATGTCGTTCTCGAGTTTGATCGACTGCGACAACTAGGGGTGAAGTTTAGCATGAAGAAAATGAAATCTTTGGACTTGCACCTCATTTCCACAACCAAAAATGACGCATACTGCCCGAGCTTCGTCGATCCGAAATCGGGAAACACAATCCCGACTATGATCTCAGCCCGTTGGATACAGTCCTTTTGCGAGCGTTTTCAGATTGTGAGCCGTGCGCTCACAGGGAAACTTCAAACTTCGCCTGCGAAGGAGTTGTTTATTGAAAAGGAAGTGGCCTTCCATTTGAGAGTTTTGGCTAGCCAGTTTCGGAACAGAGAACTCGATGAGGTTGATGTGGAAAACGCGGACAAAACCCACTTTGTCATCAACCTTGA